ATATATAAATATAGTTAGTCAATCAATAGATATATATCTATAAATAAATAATTCAATCAATAATATTATAATAAGGCAAAATGTTGCTAGTCCTAACATGATTGAATATAGAAAGCACACAAGTTATTCAAACGCTACCTTATATAGAAATAATTAAATCCTAAGTTATTCAAACACCTTATATAGAAATAAATAAAACACATAAGTTATTCAAGTAAGGCCTAATATCTGAAATGGGTGGGTATTTACAGTAGGGTCATTCTATGGTGAAGTCCACCGGGGGATAAACCATCCCAACAAATGCGATTTTGTTTGTAGGAGTGCATGGCATTTGTTCCCCTCTCCAAGCATTACCTTAGTGTTCTTTTGAGTCTTGAAGGGTTGAAGTATGCGGGTCATTGAGACCTTAGTGGAGTCAAGTCCGCTACTCCGGGATGCATAGTTCCATTAGGTGGTGCATGTTGGTCATTAGATCCTTAGTGGAGTAGCATCCCTACCTTGTGGTGCATATTTCGTTTAGGGTTGTTCCCCTCTCCAAGCATGACCTTGGTGTTTTTTCAGTCTTGATCACGTCCTATTTCACACTTTTAACATTTTTTGGTTACCAAACATTGGTTTGCTAATTAAATTAATAAATCATAATTATATAAGCCTCGTGAATGAAAATTTTTAGGGACATTATGACCCAAAGTCAATTTACTCACATACCATAATACAAGTCTTTTGATTACATACCGGTACTGCTCTGTTGCTTTTGATTTGATATGTTCGCGCCATTATTGACATACGCAAAATGCAAGAAAAATATATATTACAAGAAATTGAGTTGTAACCGTGACCGCCTACGTGGTAATTACGTTACATGTCGGATCTTCACGTTTGTAATAGAAACTTAGTTAGTTAGGTGGCCGCATAATCAGAAAAAAAATACCTTAAGACTTTGTTTTGATGAAGTTCAGTTCTATGAAACATATACACTATACAAACTAACGAAGGATGTGAACAAGTTAGTGTGTAATTTCGATTACTTGTTTCTTAAGGCTACGATAGCTAAACGAACATCGCTTTTCCAAAAACCAACTAAATCTTTAATTTCTGTCCGTAAACATTCCAAACAAAACAGTTTAAAATAAATAATAAACCCTCCTCTCTTGATAATTTAATTCTGTTATTCTCCCAATGATTATTTTGGAAATTAATTCATTTTATGTCGTATAAAATTAATTGAAAATGATGATAGAAAATTATGCATCACGGACACATCTTGGGGTAGGATCGTTAAAAACAAGGGCGCTGTACATCATAAAGGCTGGTGTTTGATTTCGGTTATGTTTGTTCCCAAAACTAAAGCTAAACAAACATCGCTTTTCCAGAAACCACCTACACAGATATGTTTAATCTTATTGTTGAAAATATTTCATTTTCGATTCGCAATTCATATCCGTACACAAAACGGTGGGTAGTAATCTGTTCTAGAAGATCTAGAGAAACTCAGTGAAAAAAAAATCAATTGTATTGCGTCTTTCAAGATGTTACGGATCTCTCCATAATACCCAAATAGTATACCCCCTCAAAAGGAGAGATAAAACATCTTGATAAACCGGTAAGCGCTGCCTGTTTCTGCAGCATTAATTAACATTAATTCTTTCAATAAAACTTTTCTGAGCTACGTGCTTACAATGGTACGCATAAACAAGCCAAAAAAATACAATAACATTAAACAGAACCTAGCTGTAAACTCAGGAAGTAGTCAAAACTATTAGCAATTGTAAATATTTTTCAGGAAAATCTAGTTTAACATCGTCCCACCAGTTTATATAACATCAGCGCTGGTTCTAGCCGCTCCTCGCCCATTGCTCTGTTAGTAGAACTGACAGATGAGAACTTAAAATGGAGGTCCAGTGTATACATCTGGCTTGGGTGCACTCAACCCATTGTAGCTTCGGAAGAGTGGGGGTTACCCCGATGTTATGGTCTATTTCAGCCCCTGTCGTTATGGAATGATGTGAACATGTAGCTACATGAAGGCCTCTTTGCGGCTGCTAGGTAGTCACGGACCACGCCCAAGCAATTCAGCACAATGACGCTGCAAATTATGGGATATTCTTCCACCTTTTCCTACCTATCTGAGATCTTTATAATTTGCAATATATTTTTTAGACAGATACCCTATACCCGCTCTCTATATTGACGCCATTACAGTGCATACAAATCAGTATAAATCGTATTACTGTATAGGCATCATCCATCTCACTTTTGAGTAATTCTAGCAAAATTGTATAGTTTGTTTTATTCAAATTTAAGTAATAAATACAATACAATAGTTATGATGAAGTAATGTGTAAATAAACATTATTTTTGAGCCAATAGGAACACTCCATCTCGGCTTTTTGTACCGTATATGCTTGAACGCTCCAGTACCCTTTAAAAACGGTTTTACAATGATACGACAAAGCTCTGCTATCAGAACAGCATATACAAAGAATAGGCTGCACGACGATTTAGTTTCCTCCTTTACACAGCGTATATCTAAATTTGATAGACTGTGTTTAAACATAAACACAAGTTATGATTATTCTTATCGTTTTCTGTCATTTGGTGTTGGGTTGCCAATTTTGTGTGCCAGTTGGAGCAGCATGTAGCAGCAATGTATCGAGACATCTCGATGGTGAGATATTGATTGGAGGAATATTTCCCATTCACGAGCGATCTGAGGTGAGTACCTCTTGGACGACAGGGCCGCCGATGGTACATTGTCTTGATTTTTACACTCCTTACTACATGGCGGCAGCTGCCGCTAGATTTGCAGTGATTGAGATAAGAGACAAAAAGTACATTGATTTAGGAGACTTGGAACTTGGCTACTATGAACAAGACTTTTGCAACTCCCCTGTGTCAGCGGTGGAGGCTACATTAAACTTGACAAATAATTCTGAAGTGAAGGCGATCGTATCTGCTGCTTTGTCTAGTAGCATGATACACATCGCCCCGATAGTTGCGCACTACAGTATTGCTACCATTGCATCGTATGCGACCAGTGAATTGCTATCAGACACAAATATCTATAGGACGCTTTTTCGGACAGTTCCTAGCGATCAGTGGCAGTCACTGCTTCTGGCAAACATGTCTGAGTGGTTTAATTGGAAATGGGTTGGTGCAGTCGCCACTGATGATGCGTACGGACGGAGCGGACTCCGGATATTTATAAACGAACTCAAAGATAAGAACATGTGTGTTGCATTTGAAACATATTTACCGGTTAATGACAGTAAAGAACGGGATAAATTTCTAGACCAACTGGCAAAATCAAAAGTCGAGGTTATCTTCTTCTACACTACGGTTGACCTAAATTTACATGATTTCTTCCAGACCGCTGACGACAAGGAAGTCTCACGTGAGTATTCTTAGTTCAATTTATTTTTATCTCATCATGAAAAACAAAACTAATCACATACATAACTGGTATTTGGTATTTATTTCTTGATATACAAAGAAATCGAATATTAAAGTCCTGATACGGCTCAGGCGAGTAGCAAATCCCCTAACCATCTGAACCATTGCCAAGGCCTTAGTGCTCAGCAGCGATAGTGTTCGCAAGGGCCACAGTCCCATTAATCCACAGGGCCTCCAGCTCCGGCGTTACGCCACTAAATATAGCTATTGTACTGTGTGTATAAAATAGAATCATGCATTATTTATACTTGAAATTCATTCAGATTTACTGCACCATACCTTACTAAATTGTAATTATATTTAATAAATATTTACATGATTTAAGTTAAATCAATGTTAAGATTTTCTTTAACCATAATAATTGTAAGTCTTGTACGCATTAAAATAATTTCGTTTTCCGTCAGCCCTCTCGCCAGGGTTAAAGAGTGGCGGAATTTTAGAAAATGTCGTCCACGAAATTTAAAGAGTGGCGTGCCATTTTTAAAGGGAGGATACATACTAAGTGTTAATGTGGACGAAGATTTTAACTCCCCTCTCTCCTAAAAAGCCTCATATCTTAGTTAATAATAATAATTAATAAAAAAAAAATAATAATAATAATTTATTGTTATTGTTATTATTATTATTATTATTATTATTATTATTATTATTATTATTATTATTATTATTATTATTATTATACTTTTGAAGTGGTAATTATGTACGGTAATTCGCAGGAACAGTTGCTCACCTCAAAAGTCATTCTCCAATATGTTTTAGGAGCGAAAATAGGGCCACTATCCAGTGAACAATCTGGGTAATAATGCAATGTGCAGAGCAACGAGTCATTGAGGATATATTATTTTCTTTTCTCACTTCCCTCGTCCTTAGATCATAAATGATATTTTTACCAAAGCCCGATGATAGTTTTCATTTTATTAGAAAACTGACCTAACAACCTTGCCTACCGCGTGTGTTAATTATCGTATTTTGCGATCATAAGCTAAGATCGGGACTGTACTAAAAATGCTTAAATATTAGAAGTATCTCCAAAATAAAGATCGTAACCTTGAGGGTGCATTGACACTAGTCAATTTTATATGCTGGCCTAAATATAAAATCAGGTCTACAGGTCCTCCTAGAGTTTATTGCTATGTCTTCCAAATCAGACGTGTATATTTGGTTGACTACGGTATTAAAATTTAGATAAAGAAAATAGCTCATCAAAAAAAAAACCAAAAAAAAAAAAAACGCTTTAATTTTGAAGTATTATTTATAACAGATCTTCGAACTGCGGTGTCTTCGTTCAATACGAAAAATACAGCTATCTTGAGATCGATCGTTGCGCGCAACCATAAGGAGAACTTGAGCAATGCTTGACGTGGATAAGTAGTACAGGTCTGTTTAGAACCGTCAATTTTCAATCGCGGTATAATTTCTTCTATAACGGTTAATTACCGTGAGTTGTCAGTAACACTTTCACAGGGTAGGGAATGGTTTAGCCCTACCTGCTTGCAGGCACAGGCGAAGTACAAAGAGATCTTACAGTTGGGCTCGTATAGAATGCGGTGCTGTTCCCAGTGGGAACTGCCTACAGTTCGACACTCTCGTATTTATTGTTGTAACGGTAACAAAATATACTTAATACATAATTTTTTAGCGTGGCACTAACATTTTCGCTTATTTTGCCTAAGCGGTCATTCCGTTGTTTCGCTCAAGCGTGGCGGTCCCGCCACGCTTAAGTATAGCTGGCGAGATCCCCGATATTATATACTACTACCTCATTATCATGTAAAATCTATGTCAATAATACTTTTTACTTTTTACAGAGATCAGCTTAGTTCAGTCGGCTAACCTGGTTGTAGCCACTGTGTGTGCGCTGAACCGTGGAGATCTCTAGGTCCCCGGTTCAATTCCCATCGCTGCCTCTCCTTGTGTTTCAGCTGGAGGGCTAAAATACAAGTTACAATAGCGCACTGTCTTTCGGATGAGACGTTTAAGCCGTTGGTTCCATGTGCATTTATGGCCCATGTGCACGTTAAAGAACGCAGTACACTCTTCGGAAAAGAGTAAGGGGATTGTCTCCCGGTGTACTGACCAATCACTACCAGAAGGACCCCACTGGAAATAAGTCTTCTTCTAGACTTTCGTGGGCTATCCTTGGTGTTTAAACCGAATAAAACCAATCCAATTCAATACTTACTTTTTGAATTGCTTACTTAAACAAGCTTTTATTTCATCTTTTTTAGGAGATACAATTATCTCCCTATAAATTTTACCAAATTAAAAATAATATCAGAAAATTGAAAATTACAATTCTAGGAGTTCTAACTTCTAATCAAGTTGTTTTTCCAGAGGACTTGTACATTGGAAGAAATCATAGTTAGTATTCCCCTTTCCCACCTATATTTGTTTTTTTTACCTGTATCTGTCTCATCAACATTTAACATATAATAATTTAGCATTCTTTATTTGGTATAGTCATGGACCTTGTAGCTGCCTCAACGTAGCAGCTTTAATATGCTGATCAAAAAGGACACTGAAACGATTTTACTGGCTTCGGCTGTATCATTTATTCTATATTTCTTGCCGTCATATCAAGCCGTGTCGTAAAATTCTGGCAATCAAATAACAACAATCATAATTATTAACATTCAGAAAATAGCAATACAATCATAACACTAATTAATTAAATCATCATTAAATCAAATTCAGGCTTTTGTAGTTATTTATCATATTATTATCAACACTGCTCATCCACATTATCAACTGTAATTACTAATTATTATTATAATCGTTTTCATAGGTAAGTCAATGTATTACAAATGATTCCACAGTCGAATGTAGATCCTAGTATAGAGAAATATCATAGTTAACAACAATAACAGTATTACTGTAACAGTATCCTGCTGTGCTGCTCAATCAAGCGGAACGGACCCGCATCGAGTGTACGACGACTTTCAGCGAATCATCAATGAAGGAAGTTTCAAACACAATAACTTTAAATTTAAGCCTAGAATGCTTAAAATGCAATATCATATAAAATAATCAAATTGTTCAACATAGCAATTGTCATGGTGATTATCAATACAATTATGAGTACGAGAAATATAGTAAAATCATCTTATTTCCTGAATATGTTTGCATGGAATGATTTAACAATTAACTAGGCCTAGGCCTGTCTCTTATACACATCTTTGACTACGGTATTAAAATTTAGATGAGCTATTTCCTTTATCTCAA